CTCCTTGTTGAAACAACAAGTCCCATTGCTTTGATACTATACATTGCTCATTTTCTAATGATATTTTCTGTTTTTTAATTGAAATGTGCATTGCTAACAGCGGAGCTATCTCAGCCGACCGGCTGCTTGTTTTCTTATTCTAATGTCATATTTCTCAATTTATATGAAGTTATATCCAAATCTATCTGTCTGACTACCTGTCTGTACTAAAAAATGTAACATTTATTTACTTTATTGGGGGTTATTGTGCGACATGTGTACATTCATACATATGGCATATTGACAGCAGATTGTGTGGCATGTTTAAGGATGCATATGACAGAGAATGTAGCATATATATGTAAGTAAGAAAACATGACCTGTATGCAGCGGAGTGCATGACATGTTGGTGGATGTGTGCCAAAAAAGTGTGGGGCAGGTCCTAATTTTCAGTCAGGATTACCATTAAAACCACCATTTGGCAAATCATGTGCCAGTGATCAGTGTTTGGGTGAGTGGTCAATGTTTTCAATAAACTAGCAAGTGAAAAACATGAATAATGAAAATATGGTCGGAATATACTGCATAGTCAGAAATTAAGCAATAACGATCAACACTTTCAGATTGCTGTTTTGCAAGGACATCTATTTTGCAATGAAGACTTTAATCCGGGGTCTGATACTGTACTGTTCTGTTTTTACAGCAAGGTAAGGTGGGAATGATTTTAATAATATACTAGAGATATTTGTGTGCACAGATTGTTACTACACTGTAACATCTATATTGAAATGAAGAATTCAATCCCAGGTGTAAAACTGTACTATTTATGTAATGTTAGCTTGAACAACAATTTTGCCTACCGGGGTGGGAGTGTGGTCAGGTATTTCAAAATCTGATTACATTTTCTAATTTTTGTGAATTTGTTTGTGATTTTCTACAGTATCTATGGAAAGCAAAAGTGCTGAACATATAAGACTACAGATTATTGGGGAAACAAATAAAATTAAAAGTTACAAAGCACTGTCAAGCCCATTTGTTTCATTTGGCATTCTACAGTAGATATAAGATGTACTATGTTTAGAGTGAATAATAACAACCTCTTACTTTTTTTCTTTGTCAGTTGTTTGACCAACCACTACTGTACGGGAGATCAGGGGTATGAACCACCAAATGTTCCAGGCATTCTATTTGTTTACGATTCATGGGAAACTGAACGATGTGGTCTGGATGGATTTCATGTAACTCTCGTCAAACATGTCGCAAATATATTATCATCGATGTACCATATTTACAGCACTGTACTTGAAGTGAGCAGAGAAAAATGCAGAAAGGCAGAAGATGAGAATATTCATTTGATTGAGCCAGCAAAGAAAAAAGCAAATTATTGTCCAAGTAGAGAGTGGTTCTTTCTTCATGATAGTTACTTCCCTGTTTTGAAAAGTATTAATATAAAACATGTAGTTGGATATTCACCAAGAACTGACAATGCTGCATTCACCATTCAAAATGAGCTTTTTAATGATGCAAGACTAATTTTAATTAACCATGTTTTGCCTGATGCATTTGAAATGAATGGAGAAATAGATGAATTGGTATACAAGGCTGCTGCAGCATTTATATCAATTGGACCCTTAATACATGAAGAAAACTATTTAAAATTGCAACTGCTAGGACTGGACGAAAAACCTCATGTAAAATTATATCCATTTCCATCAAAAATTTTCTTCAAAGAGAGTGTGGTTAAGGATATATTTAATGATAAAACAAAAAAAATTTATATTTCTACCTATGGACATTTTTTTCATCCTAATATTAAAGCTGTGAATGTATTAGGTGAAGTGGCAAACGTTTTTAAATCGTTGAAGCAGAGTCTTTCACTGAAGATTCTGTGCGTGCCAGATGAATTAGAGATTTTTGAGACAATAAATAATTTTGTTAGTAGCTCGGCCTTGCCACTTAATGATGTAACAACATATAGTTCATGTTCTCTGAAACAAATCTTGAGAACTTTGCGAGCGAGCCATCTTTGTATAATCCCCAAAATCGACATTGAATACAGTTTTGTAGGCATAGAAGCTATAGCATTGGGAGTTCCTGTCTTGGTTGATGAACAATCACAACTAGCAGCTTTTTTTGGAGAAGTGTTCAACAACACTTGGCAACATATTGACTTGTGGGAGTCTAAGATTGTGGAAAATACTTTCGAAAGTTGGGAAGAAAAAATTCGAAACAGCCTACAGTCTTTAAACATGTCTTGGCATAAATCAGCTGCTTTACGAGAAGAATTTAAAACAAGTTACCTTGTATCAAAAAGTTATAAAGAAGTCGTTGCATTGCTAAATCATACAACTATCAATGAGTGTCCAGAGTGTCCATGCAAATCATGTTTGCCATTAAAAGTACACTGTGTCTTCAATTCAACTAATTCGCAAACAAATTCTAAATCAAGTACTCCAACAAATTTCAATCATTGGTTGTGGAAATGCACAGACATTATTACTCAATTAACAATAAACAACAAAGATTACCAAGAGGAATTGGAATGTGCTGTCCAAAACAAGTGTTCCGCTATTATCCTAGGATACAAGGAAGGGAGTCTTATAATTTACATTACATTCCCAAATCTCTTTAGCCTATATGTATTCCAGGGCATTGTAAATTCAGGAACACTGGCAAGAGAATTTGACAAGATTTTAATTTCTGAGAAAATGAGGTATGAGGCAGCTCTACTGAACATCCCCTTTAAGCTGGATTTATCATATGATGAAGAGCAGTTCAAGTTACTTGCCACGTACTTAATAAATCGTAAGTTTAAATTACCATTTTTTTTTGCTATGCACACATGGAGGTACATGTGATGTTGTACAGATATATGTATGTAAATTGTGTCCCAATGATAAACCACTGGGTGGATTGGGATGCAATTTTGTAATTTGCATACTAATTTATTACTTTTTAGCTCCGCTGTTGACTTTGTCGAGCGGAGCTTATCGTATGAGTGATTGTCAGTCGTCGCCGTCGTCGTCGTCGTCCGTGTCAATGTTTTATATTTTTGACTTCTTCTTGAAAACTACAAGCCTGAATGCTTTGATACATGGTGTATATGTATCTTGCGTATACCTCTCTTAGGTTTGTTCATTTCATGTTGATATCTTCAATTCTCTAATTTTGGTGAGCATTTTTGTCATTTTTGGTAAAAAGTGATATTTTCGACTTCTTGTTAAAAACCGCAAGTCCAATTGCTTTGATACTACATATAAAGGTACTACATGTGGACCTCTCTCATATTTGTTCATTTCGTGATGATATCTTAAATTCTCTAATTTTGGTAAATATTTTTGTCATTTTTGGTAAAAAGTGATATTTTTGACTTCTTGTTAAATACTGCAAATGCAATTGCTTTGCTATTACATATATAGGTACTACATGTGATCCTCTCAGATTTGTTCATTTTGTGATGATATCTTCAATTCTCTAATTTTGGTGAATATTTTTGTCATTTTTGGTGAAAAGTGATATCTTCGACTTCTTGTTAAAAACCGCAAGTCCAATTGCTTTAATATTATATATATAGGTACTACATGTGGACCTCTCTCAGATTTGTTTATTTTGTGATGATATCTTCAATTCTCTAATTTTGGTGAATATTTTTGTAATTTTTGATAAAAAGTGATATTTTTGACTTCTTGTTAAAAACCAATAGTTCAATTGCTTTGATATTACATGTATAGGTACTACATGTGGACTTCTCAGATTTGTTCATTTTGTGATGATATCTTCAATTCTCTAATTAATTTATTTTGGTGAATATTTTTGTAATTTTCGGTAAAAAGTGATATTTTCGACTTCTTGATGAAAACCGCAAGTCCAATTGCTTTGATATTACATATATAGGTACTACATGTGGTTCTAACTCGGATTTGTTCATTTCATGATGATATCTTCAATTCTTTAATTTTGATGTATATTTTTGTAATTTTTGGTAAAATTGATATTTTCCACTTCGTGTTAAAAACCACAAGTCTGATTGTTTTGATACTATACATATTGTTCATTTTCTAATGATATCCTCTGTTCTTTAATTGAAATGTGCATTGCTAACAGCCGAGCAATCTCAGCCGATAGGCTGCTTGTTAAATTTCAAGATATGAATAGAAATGAAAACAATATGAAAATTGGATGATTTTGCAAAGTTTTGAGGAGTTTCACCATGTTCAACACACAGATTTAAATGTGAACACATATTCTTGTAGGCAAAAATGTTAATTTCATGAGGTTGATGTCATGATTTTTCGAATGGGATACTCGTAAGATGGAGAACTCATGACACATTACTGCAATGCCTAATTATTCTTGTACTGATGTGGCCATGATGGCGCAATTACATGCGTTATGTAGCACACACGATCCAGAAAACATGAATGCAAAATATTTGACCCAACCCAGAGTGAAACAAAAGCTATTCAAATTAAGGCAGAACAAAAATGAGCGCAAAATATTTTCAAGTAGATTTGACCTTAACTGAGTGAACATGACTTTAAATTTAACTTTTGAAACATGTGAACACTAAATATAACAATTTAACATGGCCCAAAACAATTCATCTTTGTGGTATTGGGTGTATTGCAATACCTGGAGTAGTATAGTTTATGGATTGGCACTTGGTATGAATGAAATACGATAGTCTAGCTATGAGGTAGTGCAATGTGCCTTTACTAACATAAGTTATAATCATTATTTATTACTAAGCTCATGTATTATAAGACGAATATTCACACAGAACTCCAAGACTTCTTTACCGAAAAACGATTTAACCCCACAAAAGTTATAATGCATGCATGCTAAGATTACATGTCCGATTATAGCATGCACGTTTTCGCATTATTGCATTTTATTGAGACAATCATTACTTTTTACATTGTGATTTATAGGAGACGATCATTATTTTTTACATTGTGATTTATAGGAGACGGTGGAAATAGCATTTTCAGCTACATAGATGATGATGTTGGAGATGATGATAATGTGATAAATGATGATTACGAGGAAGATGGTATGACTTTGGAAGAGCTTAACAACTTAATTCTGAAGAAAAAAGTATGTAATAATGCATTTATTTATGTGTATACACCCGTCCCATTGTGTGTGTGTGTTTGCAATCGTTGCGTGATGGCCCTTTGGGTTACCCCTTAGGCGAGGCCTTTTTCTTAGAGAATGCTACCCTAGGGTGTTCCTTGCAGACCTGGGTATATTCTCTAATAGTTTCCATTTGGGGTTGTAATCTGTAATTAAGCAATAAATAAGTAATAAATGAAATTTCCACAGATTTTCCACAGGTATGATTAGGTAAACAAACATGTTTCTACAACCTTATTAATCTCATTGAACTCAGGCAAAAAAAATATATATACTGGACTGATTTGAATGATACATTCCCTAAACATTGGACCCGACAGAAAATTATAATAACACATACTTGACTAGGTGAAAGTAATGCAAACAGCCAGCTCTTGATGTTGCAATGCAGTCAACCCATGCATTATATCCAGCCATTATACAGCAAACCAATTCCCTCTGACATACATTTCCATGTGTCACTAACTGTTCCAGCAGATACAAGTATGGTATAATTAAAAGCAACAAGTATTTTTTACTTGTCGGATATTGCATTTATGAACTTATGGATATTTGATATGTTCTTTGTACTAACTTTGCATTTCCCGTAAATGATTAAGACGACAAAAAAAAATTAACCAACATGGCCACCAGTCGACAATTTGACAGTCAACAAAATTTCAATAATTTGCATGCCTGAGAAATAACAGTTGGTTAAATTTCAACTCGCAACCAAGTGTAAGCTTGTATGTTAGTGCATATGTACAAATCTATGCATTGTAAACACATAACTGAATTCTGGAAGGGCTAAATAGCTAGTTTTAATATGGCTGGTACTCTGTTATCTTGTAATCTGATAATGAAAGAAATGCATGTGAACATGTCAGATATACATGTCCACTTTGAATGTGATCAATCCAGTGATGTGCGTGCTACAGACATGTGCTACAGACATATATGAATGCACAGAGGTTAATCCACAAGTCCCATTTTTCGTACAGGTACAAACAGTAAATCAAATGACATTACAAGGCTTGACATAGGATGGAATAAATCATTAGTCTAAAGACTAGCAAAATACAATCAGTAGTCCTTACACGTTCCATCATAAAATAATTTAAATCTCACTATTAATTGTTTAAGTCACGGAAACAAAATTACCACTATTCAGTGATTTGAAAAATAAAATGGCGCATGAAAGTCCTATTGTGTTTGTACCAAGTTTACACCAAATCCATTATTCCTCTCAATAAATGGACTCTGAGTTCGTTTAGAGGAAATAAAATGTATATTTATGTTTATATATTAGTCTCCCATTTAGCCCAAGCTTGGCACACCTAGTTTTTACTTTTCACCATTAACAGCATTTTAACTCTTCTGTGATTTTTTTGGCTGGGCTGATTTTGTCCATACTTGGTAGGCAGGTCATATCGTCATTCTAGTTGGGTGGTAAAATCTAAAAAAAAAAGTCTGACCTACAATTTTTTAATGGCTTTGCACCAAATGTATTTCATCCTTCAATTCCGGGACTAAAACACCTTGGCTCATTCTATTTAGCTTGATATCTTTTTTCATTACCGAGAAATTTGACCTAAGTTGGGGTAACTTTAACTCTTCCATGATTTTTTTGGCTAGGCTGATTTTGTTAATACTTGGCAGACAGGTCATACCATCACTCTAGTTGAGTGGTTATATTGGAAAAAAATTCCTGATCCACTGTTGCCATGGCAACTGACAAATGTTTTTTTTTTTAAATACTTTCGCCCTAATGTAATACCTACTACAAGTCTTGTAATAGCAGTGTTCAAATGATCATGCTTTTTATTTTGGCTAAGTTGCCGACTGATGAGAGAACATGTTAGCTTCAGTTCTCGTCCTACCGGCTTGTCGGTGTATGTGTGTCTGTCTGTTCCACTGATGTATGTTAATGTGCTGATTTAGGTCTTAGTAAAAATCCATGCATATTAATTACCTAATTTGCACGATATTTAGCTAATTTAGCGGTTCCATGACTGTTCCACTGTTGTCTAAAAAGCTACCCATTTGATTTTGATGAAACTTAGTAAATAGATGATCAGGACTGATGCACAGATTTGATTAGTTTTTTGTAAAAACATGTGCATATTAATTACCTAATTCGCATAATGACTACTCAGTTTTTGGCTTTCCCGTGATATCTCAAGTACTAAACATCACATTTCAATGAAACTTGGTACATATATGTCCTAGGACAAAGTACAAACATGATAGTTTATTTTAGCCGAGCATTACATTTACCTAATTTACATAATTAATCAATTTTGCTGCTTTTTCTTTTTTTCAAATACCAATTACCCCGTTTCAATGACACTTGGTACATAGATGCTTTAGGGCAATGCAGAGACCTAATTAGTTTAGGTTGAAATTAGTGCATCTTAATTACCTAATTTTCATGATAAACCAATTTTCAACTTTAACGCTGATATCTCAAATACTAATTATTCAATTTCAATGAAACTTGATGCATATATGACCTGTGACATTGTGCAGACCTTATCAGTTGTTTTACTATGAAATCTGTGCATATTAATAACCTGATTTGCATAATTATTCAGCTTTCAGCCTTTCTATCAATACCACAAATACAAGTAAATTTGAATTCATTTTTTATGTGTCTTCAATACTCTCAGCACACTGGACTTCTTTCTAAGCTTTCTTTGATTATTTAATATGTTTCATATTTTTGCAAGGCATCTCATACTGAGAATGGAAATTACAATGGTGATTCTAGAGGTTAGTTAGTATCTACTATTACATTTTCCTCCTTTTAATATTTCAGTGTGTGTGGGTAAATAAGTGCCAACTCAAAATGTCTGTCCAAACACTGTCATGTATGTGGGCTAGAAGAGCATATCTGTTTTGTCAGTCAGTGTCATGTCAATATGGTTGGAAATGTGTGTGTGTCTTTGAATATTTAAAATAATTTTAAATAAATTTATGAAAAGAATTAAGAAATACTAGTGACTGCTGACAAGCAACAAAGTTTGGGGCATCTTACAAGCCACTCTGACACTGCATATCATACTCACATCAGCCTATTGTCTTATATTACTTTGCTTTTTATTCCGTCAGATCATTACAGTGAATTTGAGTATCATAATTTCATAATTGTCTTGTTGGTTGTACTCGCGAGTATATGTAAGTTGAAACAAATTAATGCATTGTTTACAGTTTTGCTACATATACATAACTTCTAAATTATACATAATGTCTTCATTGGACTTTTTGGAGGGGGGTTCTGTTGAAATTTAGTGTTGCCTTTACTCATAGTGCATTACTGATGCACATCATTCATAAAATATAATTGTGTGACTATTTCTTGTAATCAGATTCATATGTAGGTTTAATATTTGAATCCAGTCTGGTGATACAATACAATCAAGCATGTTTACTCTTATTTAGGCATTCTTTGTATCTGAGGCCATGTGTTTTTTTTTTCAAAGGCAGAGACTTTGACATTTATATCTTGCTTTTCATTATTTTCAGTTATTGGATATTTCATTACACAAAGCATTACAAGACATAGCAGTAAGAAGTTTTTATTAGTTCCTGTTCAGATGGGGACTTGTGTTTTGATCTTTGTGTGTATGTGCATGTGCATCTTTCAAACTTAATGCATTTTGGCAGGGGTAATTATTCACTGGGTTATAATTTTGCTTATTTCACTGACTGGAAAATGGCTAAATTAAAACCCAGTGAATATGTAAAATTTAGCATAAAACAAATTATCTAAATGATAAAACCGTGAATTTAAAACCCACTGAATATCCTGAAATTTAAACTCAGTGACAATTAGTCATTTTACAGTACATATGCATGTTCATATGTTTTGTGAGCTGATTCAAGATGGCCAAATGATGATCATTTTTATTAGCTCCGCTGCCGACTTAGTAGAGCATTGCTTATCATACGAGTGACTGTCCTCTGTCATTGTTGCCGTTGTTGTCCATGTCAACTTTTTACTTTTTCGACTTTTTCTTGAAAACTACAAGCTTGAATGCTTTGATACTTCTTGTGTATTTAGCTTGGGTAGACCTCTTTTAGATTTGTTCATTTCATGATGATATCTTCAGATCTTCAATTTTGATGAATATTTTTCACATTTTTGATACAAATTGTTATTTGGAACTTTTTGAAAACTACTAGCTGGATTGCTTTTATACTTGGTATGTAGGTACTCAGTGATGACTTAAAATTTAAGCAAATTTAGGTCCCTAAAATCATTTAAAAAGTGATGATGAAATGATCGGCAGGTAGAGGACTGAACCATATTTATCCATGAGGTGAATCATTACCTTCTAACATTTATATTTAGATATACACTTGTACCAAAAATCACACTTTGAAAATAATTAGATATTCACAAATATTTGTTTAGTCTGCTCTTGCTTTGGGATATGTTGTGATTATATACATACATTCATACTCATAGTTTCTGTTATTTCAGCTGTTGCAGACACTGGGATGTTTGATGCCGTGAGAGGTTTCAACTATACCAAGTCATTCACTACAACTAGAAGCACAGACAGCCAAGCAATTGAGTATCTTAATCTTATGCTGGTTGGATTGCCTTCAAAGTCATTCACTACAACAAGAAGCCCAGGACATATTGAATATCTCAATCTCATGCTGATTGGTAGATGCCCTTCACGGACTGAACGAAATCGTTTCAATTATATGATAAATCAGAAATCCTCAATGAAAAAAAAGGTAATATTCCAGCTAAATAAATAACCATAGACGAAACAGGATTGTCCATGGTTAGCTGTATATTTTGTATTGTAGGCTGTTGGGTATAGAGGACGAATATGTATGTATCAGTGGGTGTGTGTTTGCACCGTTCCTTTCAAAGTGTAATAAAATGTAGTTAGTGCAAAGATATTTCAAAGATAATTCACTCCTATGTAATGCCAATTTGCATTTAAAAAATCAGAAAACAACCAAATTTCAACATGCCTTACCCATTTCTTATTAGCAGTCAAAAACAGAAACTTATGGATCGAACTCTATCTGTGAATCCCAACCTGTATCTTTCACATGCCTGAGTTGATCGCATTTAAACTTCACACATACGTAATATGCACCTCTATTCAGTTCCTATTCTAATTCAATCATTTCTGCTACTCAAAGTGATGAGTGTATGATGATGGAAATTAGCTACCAACTGAAAATCCTTATTGTAATAAATGACTTCTACTATGACATTATTTGGTCTACAGTGCTGATATTGATAGTGCACACGCATTGTCAGATTTTGTGACGACATCTTCAATCTTTTTAGATGACAGAATGGAGCTAGTCAAATAGGTGATTGTTTTTTTGTTCATAGTCTGTCAACAATTTTTTTAACTTCTTCTTGAGAAATGCGTGTGTATGTACCTCTGGACCTCTGTAAGATTTACTCATTTCTTGATGATATCTTCAAATCTCTATTTGTGGAAAAATATTTTGGTAAATTTTAGTGAAAAAATGCTATTTTTGACTTTCCTTGAAAACTCAATTGCTTTGATACTTAGTATGTATGTACTTTGGGTGAATATTAGAATTCTTCTTGAACACTACCCACCCAGTTGCTTTGATATTTTAGTTGTACATTTTTTTGTTGAACAATTTGTTCTCGACAAGGCTACAACAATGTTCTTGTAGGACAGCAGAGCTATTTTGTGGCTCACATTGCCTTTTGACTTTATTCTTGAAAACTACCAGCTAAATTGCTTAGAATTTTGGTATTACATGTATGTACCTTAAGTGGGCTGCTGTCAGATTTGTTCATTTCATGACAATACATGTATAATTTATTTTCTCTTTTTTGGCAAATATCCTTTGATTGTTAATTTTGTAAAAAATTATATTTTCGAAATTTTTTTGTATCACTGCTAAATATTTTTGTGAACAATTTTATGAAGTTGACATTTTCTCAACAGCAAAACCAAACCACCTTCGGTGGCTGTGTGTTAGTTAACTTGACTACCACATTGTCTTATCGGAGAGCTAGTTTGATCGTCTGGTCACTTGTTTCATGATGTTATCTTCAATTATTTATTTTTAGCAAATATATTTTCGACATTTTTGTTAAAATTTTTGTTTGTTTTTTTCGACTTTTTGAAAAATACAAGCCTTATTACTTTGATACTTGGTATGGTTTGTAACCAGTTGATAACAATATTGAAATTACCATAGCAACAACTTTATAAACTATCATTGTGATTGGGAACATTGTAATAAAAATAACCATGGCAAATCACTAATATATCATCAATATAGAACATTTTCAACTTTGTTTGTGGAAGACAGAAACATGTGATCACTTGTGGTTTCTTGGCCTTAGTCTTGAGATGCATTTTTTGAGATGGATGTCTATGTGGCTGATATTTTCAGACCATAATTCAATTTAATTGGGTATATAGAGCTTATATAAAGAAACATTGTAATTCTATACCTGAGAAGTTTGTGGAAATCCACTAAATCTAAATCTGAAAATTTATTAGACTAAAAACCATGAATGTCAATTCAAAGGTATTTTCTGTTTTATAAACTTCAGATTATTTTCACATTGTACATCTCAAATAGGATTTGAATATTAGTTGTTCAGTTTTATGTTTAAAAGGCTAATTATTTGCTAATTAATGTCTCCAATAGTCTCAGCACATTGAAGTTTTTTTTTAATTTCAGTTTATTATGAATTCTGTATTTTCAGGTATTTTTTCCCTGTTTGAACAAAGTTGGAAATGGAGACTTACCAGTATAATTCATACTTTGATCCTTCTAATTGTCTGAATTCGTATTTCAGAACTGCAAGAATCAAATCTGTTCATTCTTTGCCATACAGTGACCATACAGTGTACATTCAGAGACATTTTACCTCGTCACATGATCAGTGATTTGTATATCGTATTTGATTGCATATATTATGCATGTACCTGCATACAACAATTCAATTTGTCAACAGATAAAAATCAACAGACTTGCAGCCATCATGTTGTTTGGGCATATTACTTTAACTAAACAAAACTTCTTTTAACTCCAATAAGGACTTTGTCATAAACAATGAGTGAAAATTGAGAAGTGTGAAATACAGAAAGGACATACATTACTTCATTTGCTCTATCACCACTGATAGTGGTGCGATGAACGTAAATAAAAAGTAAATTACATGTATCAAGTCGTATTTCAGCATGTGTGCATCTACTAGTCTAATAGAGCATATATGGTGTATATATATTCTAGGTCTCTATATGGTACATATGTACATATATATTTACTAATATAAAGTCATTTTTATTTTTTAATTGTATTTTGTTCTAAACATAATTAAAGGAAAAAGAAACTGAACTGAAGCGCACACAGAAGAAATGTGATGATCAGACAACAGAACTGACTAAAGATAAGACGAATCATGATAAGGAAGTACAAGCCCTTGATCAACAAATTTCAATCCTACAAGATATAATCAAACAGAAGAATATTCACCTTAAGGAATTGGAAAAAAAAATACAGGACTATACACAACAGCACGAAAAGCAGCTGGAAGAAAAGGTAAACAATCCAACAATTTAAAATTTACTGTCACTGTTTATGTCGTTCGCATGCAATTACAATGCAGCAAGGCTGCAGAGCAGGTCAATTATTTAGCCAAAACACCCATTGGTATTCAATATTTGTATCACCTTTTGTGTGGGTTCTTAAAATTACACAATTTGTGTATCACAGAGTTAATTTAGTCTGATGTGCACCAATACAGTTCAATACTATTACATGTATAAATAAATAAATGGAGACAAGAATTCACACCAGTCATAAATAAATGAAGACAAGATTTCACACCAGTTAATCTTACACATAAAACAAGACGGTAGGCTGGTAGGCGATCTGCTCCGCTACGCTCAAAAAGCAAGCAACATGTTTTTGGCTATTGTCACGGTAGGCATGTATGTAAATGTGTTGAGATGGGCGTAGTGCGAGTGGTTAGTGCTAGTAGCACTAATCCAAAAAAGTACTAGATCTAGTGGTAAAAATGGCACTAGATCTAGCGCAAAAATGGCACTAGATCTAGTGCTAAAATGTGCACAGTGCGAGTGGCATTGTTATCGCATTGTTGATATCTTCAACTATCTAATTTTGGTGAATATTTTTGTCATTTTTGGTAAAAAGTGATATTTTCGACTTCTTGTTAAAAAACGCAAGTCCAATTGCTTTGATACTTCATATATAGGTACTACAAGTGGACCTCTCTCAGATTTGTTGATTTTGTAATGATATCTTTAATTCTCTAATTTTGGTGAATATTTTTGTCATTTTTGGTAAAAAGTGATATTTTCGACTTCTTGGTAAAAACTGCAAGTCCGATTGCTTTAATATTACATATATAGGTACTACATGTGGACCTCTCTCAGATTTGTTCATTTTGTGATGATATCTTCAATTCTCTAATGTTGGTGAATATTTTTGTCATTTTTGGTAAAAAGTGATATTTTCGACTTCTTGTTAAAAACTGCAAGTCCGATTGCTTTGATATTATATATATAGGTACTACATGTGGACCTCTCTCAGATTTGTTCATTTTGTGATGATATCTTCAATTCTCTAATTTTGGTGAATATTTTTGTCATTTTTGGTAAAAAGTGATATTTTCGATTTCTTGTTGAAAACTGCAAGTCCAATTGCTTTGATACTACATATATAGGTACTACATGTGAACCTCTCTCAGATTTGTTCATTTCGTGATGATATCTTCAATTCTCTAATTTTGGTGAATATTTTTGTCATTTTTGGTAGAAAGTGATATTTTCGACTTCTTGTTGAAAACTGTAAGTCCGATTGCTTTGATACTATACATATTGTTCATTTTCGAATGATGTCTTCAGTTCTTTAATTGAAATGTGCATTGCTAACAGCGGAGCTATCTCAGCCAATAGGCTGCTTGTTGGCGAATAATTTCGGTAAAAATGCTATTTTTCACTTGTATCAGGTGTCATATGGAATCCATGCATAAATTTGCATAAAAAAGTGGAAGACAACCATTTGATTTCCTTCTCTGTATTTAGTAAGTGTAATACCTAGTTCAGTATTGCTCCATTAGTAGTGAAGTGAAATTTGTAAAAGACATGTCTGTCTATCAAGTCATGATTCAGCATATGTGCATCTACTAGTCTAATTAAGCACATATGGAGTATATATTTTCCAGGATCTCTATATGGTGATAATAATAATCTTTATTGTTATCGTATCATCGATGGGACTTTGATTATAAATACAATTTAGGTATAACAATGAAAAAATTAAATGAAACTACAAGAGTAAACAGTTACATCTGTGACTTTACTAATACAAAGTCATTTTTATTTTTTAAATTTATTTTGTTTTTAACATATTTAAAGGAAACAGCAATACAAACAATCACTGAAGAACTGAAGCGCACACAGAAGACATGTGATGATCGGATAACAGTACTGATTAAAGCTAAGGGGAGTCAAGATGAGAAAGTACAAGCCCTTTATCAACAAATTTCAATCCAACAAGATACAATCAAACAGAAGGATAATCATCTTAAGGACTTGGAAGAAAAAATACAGCAACTATTACTGGAGGAAAAGGTAAACAATGCAACAATGTAAAACAAGGCTGCAGGGCAGGTCAAATATTTAGCCTAAACACCCATTAATATTCAATGTTTTTATCTCCTTGTGTGTGGGTTCTTAACCAGTTTAAAATTACACAATTGGAGCCAAAATTACTATCAGACAGGTTACAGTTGAAGACTGTGGCCACATGTGATTCCTGGTCAATCAGAATTGTATGGTTGCGAGAGAATCTGCTTCCCAGGGTAAGAAGCGCATGGCCATGGCATGAGGGTGTTGTGCCCCTGCTCCCTGATCCCTGATCCCTAATAACCCACAGTCTTTTGCACATTACGCCGGAGTACATTGTTTGTTCTCACAGCCCAATCATGGTATCAAATCATAGCATTCACAGAATCCAGACTGTAAAATGTTGTTACTTGCTTAGTATTTGAACCAAATCGTAGCATTGGCAGAATACTGACTGTAAAATGTTGTTACTTGCTTTGAATTTGAACTCTCCAGACTGTAAATTATAGTATTATGTATTTTAGCATTTTATATCATTAACGCACATATTGTAGTTGCATCCTCCACTGTTTTCTACTGCCCTCAGTGTCAGTTCTGATAGTTGCAGCTTCCACATCTTCTATCTCCCATAACTTACATCCAACCTACATCTTCTGCCGTTCACTCTCATATTAATATGCTAACGCTAATATTTATTAGTTAGTACTTATTTCTTGATTTTTCAGTCTTGTTTTATATTGAGTTTTTCAGTCTCTCTGTACTTTATTATAACTTTTTCTGCAGTGGCAGTCAGGCACTACTAACAATCTAATTAGTGGGGCTTGGGTTGAGACTGGTCCAAACTATTCAGATAGTACTTCACAGTTTTCAGCTATGTTAGGACTGTTATATATGGTCCACCCCAGCACCTTTTTTTTCCAAATAAATACTTTTTTCCTTTATCTGTAGTTTACTTTCTAATTAACACATAAATATGTTTTTGGTGGAAAAGTCCCATTGTTAGTATTGCCGATTGTACACTGACAAAATTCACAGGCGAAGTCGTGCTTGGAAAAACAAACATGCATTACAAATGAAGAAGCAGTGGTGATAAACAAAATTTACCAAACTTATAACGATTGCTCCAACTCTTGGTGTTGAATCAGAAAGTCAAATGCACGAGCTGAATTAGCATAATTTGTAACGATCAACAACAAACACGGCAGCAAAAAATTATTGCATTTTGTCATCATTTTGTTTGGATATTTCATGTCGACAAGGTAAATAAAACATCTCTCATTTAATAAAACTCGTTCATCTGTCTTTGTTTACCGGACAATGTGAATTTGCTCTTCAATTGTGAGACAGTCCAGTGAAGAGCTCAAATGCCAGCGAGAATCAATATTATTTTGCCAATAAAAAATAAGCTTGTTTTTTATTCATTTGACACTTTGATTAAAAGCGTTTTTAATTTGTTGTTAGAATATTGATGACATCTTTCCAGTCGCCACATTTTCGCATTCAGATAATATTCATTGTGTCTTATTCGTAACTTCACAGCCCAAAGTTGCGATGGACTCCTCCTTCCAACCTGAAAGACTACATACTCGGTATTCTGAACATAACATGAGACTACTTTTCTATTAGCAATTCGTAAGCAGCTATTGTCTGGTGAAAACTTGGGTGGTCGTTATCGGAAGTTTAAGTGTTTAATATGTTTACAATAGGGTGGTCGCTGGTCACGTTAAACAGGTGGTCATTATATACAATGTCTTTAACAAAGGTGGTCGTTAGCACAAGTTTGACTGGTTAATTAGATTTGTTCATGTACTTCAGAAAATGGACAATGACAAATATTATTGTTAATATCGCAGCTAGGACATTTGACAACCACATTTGACACAACAGTGTTCATCATTTTTATGCATAGAACTGCTTCTAATTTAGTCTAAAGTATTTTTAAATAATTTTATATAGATGTAATAATTCACCTGTAGCCCTTTCCTTTGAAATAACATAAAGTTATTTGCCTTTCTTATTGTACTTAGTCATTAAAGACACTTTATTTTAGACCCAACATTAATATTTACATAAACAACATAAACATAATTGTTGGCTTGTCCATAATTAATTGAAGGTAAAGTCATGGTAGTGGCAAAATATCATCCAGCAACATTGTCACTGAACGCAACACCTCAGCTGATTGCTATCAAACTTATATGTATTTTTTATCTGTAGGTATAATAGGCCTGTATAGACTTCAGACTTGATCTTTTTAGCCTTTGCAGACTAAGTCTGACGAAGGCTTCTAGATTTGCTTTCGTTCATCTGTCTTTTACCTCTCTTAACTTTGATATGCTCTGTCCAATGTTTTTCAAAGTTGGTGCATATGTAATTCTCAATGCCATACTTATGCACGCCAAGTATTTTTTTGATTCGCCAAAGTTTCACTGTGTTTTTCTGTGATTTTCAACATTATACTAGTAAAAATGCCGAAATGCCGATTTCTCAAAAGAGCTGGCATAACGTATTGCGCATGTGCCAGTCTAACCGCTGAGGAAATTGCCGTTGTTTTCATCTGAAGTTATTGTATTCCGGGAGTGTATCTTTCATTGCACACGGCTTATATAGATTAAATGCTATCTCGTCAGTTTCAAAGGTAAGAAAATGTGCTTATGGTATTTATTGTGAACGTTGATTTATCTTTTTGTGTCCTGACTTTGGTAAGAAACAAGCGATCGCACAGTGCTGGTCACACTTTGCCAGAAAAAACAGTCCTGCTATTATTGTTAGAACTGGTTATGAAATGTGTAAATCGAAAGTTTATCTCGTCATTTAAGAAGCTTGAGAATTACGTTTGGCATATAAAATACTGGAATAATAAAAACGTAAAAGTTTAGAACATGCTATCTCGGGATTTGTACGATTGTTATTTCCTGTGTTCATTGGCACTTGCTAGCAGATTGAAAGGAAGTGTGAAACCTGTTTTCGTGACGATATATTAGACTAGAATTATCGAGAAAACAAGTCAAGTTCAGCCAACCGTGATTGCCTGAAAGCAATGATGAAATTGAGAAGTACTGTAATTCAATATCAATGAATCTATCATCACTTTTAAATTACCTTTGAGGTAAATATGACACTTGAGTGCCGGTTATCATATTAAGAGAGCAGTGAAACATTATTAGGGAGGGAGATAAATTCACGTAATCCTCAATTTTAATGATGTTGACTTAGGCCAGACTTTTATTATCCCTTGTTTTGCGAACCCGCCGAATGAACAGGAGCCGAAAATGAAATAAAAATAAAATTTTATTTCAGCGTAATTTCTCACGTCCGCCGACTTGTAAGCGCAACAAATTGCTAACAAATATTATTTTTAATCTTTATTTTTTTACCGCCCGCCGCATAACAAATTGAAGTTGCATTTTCGTGGGAGTATCATGATCATAGTACTAAAGTCTCGCGCAGATGAGAAATAAGGTTATACATGGAATAAAATGTTATTTCATTTCTTCTCTTCGATCAATGATCTCACTTACATTTCCTCGAGAATCACACAAATCTAATGGAAAAAAAGAATTAATTTTTTGTCCCCGCTCTCAAAAAAATTGCCTTATAAAAACTCGCGAAACAAGGAATAAAAAAGTCTGGCCTTAATAGTCATAATTGTTTTTTCAAAACTCCAGATATAATTTTATGTAATTGTAAACAGTTAACAATATTAACTAATATATTTTTGGCAATATATCCCATTTTAATTATCTAAATTTGTTTAACTGTATACAGTAAATCTTTATTTTAAAAATACAACTAAAATATGTTAATTAGTTCATCCTTGACTTTGGTAGAACATGTTTAAAATAGTACAGTACAATAGTACAATTTCTTTCTGGCGGGTATAAATATATGAAGTAATATAAATTATTTTTTCGTACTAAAAAAACTCAAATATCTTTTTAATTAAATCTTAACAGCCAATGTGTTTTTTTGCAATTGCAGAGTCGGAATTTTTTTCTCGGAAAGCAAAGCCACTGGAACTGCATGTATTAAAAAAACATACCAGTACTATTCGCTGCGTGTCTGACAATTGTCTAAAGTTTCACCGGTCCTCTTTTTTTTCACTTTGAGAAGTGCTGTCAACCAAAGCATAAATATGTGTTTCTCTGTACATAAAATTTCACACGATTTGTTAATATTAATGTATGATAATAAAAACTTGATACTATTTTTCTGGATTGTTGTACTTTATTTGTATCATTGTCATATGAGAAGTACTCTTGTCCTTATTAGAGATATTGGAACTAATCCAGGGCCACAAACTAGTTTATCCAACACTGACTCTTCTACATATTTGCAGATCTGATTTGTATACTTCCTTGTCATTTTACCTGTTGTTGGTTTGTCGCTATCTGGTTTTCTTGCTGAGAATAATGCTGACCTGGATGGAGAGTGCTATAAACTTGAAATTGCCATCGAAATCACGTTTGCCAATTTATGTCCATGCAACTTTTAAATGACAACTAGCGAAGGCAGTGTCATTCATGACTTGTTTACTTTTACTAGTGTGCCATTAACCCTTGTGTGATCAAGTTGATGTAAAAGTACATAGGGTAAATTTGCCAGTCTCATCAACTCATTTAGTTTTCTTACCTGTGATTGGTTGTTCATTTCACAGAAGAAAATGGAAGTTTGGACGTCAGATTCTCTTAATAACTGAAGACGCCATGTCAATGCTCTGGCTTTCAAAACTATCTGTGTAATGATGGCTTGTGCGTCATGCGTGTCTTTAGTGATAACATTTCTTTTGTTGTGAAGTTTATGTTAATTTGGAATCCAATGACAATGACAACGTTGCGGATCTAAAGTGTTGGCTGAGTAAAAACTCATCTGCTGTCACGCTTATGTTGCATTCATCGCCAGATTCATAGCATTTATTCTACAACTGCTCATGACATGTATTATGACTGCTCGATTGCTACAGCAAGTCAACTATGAAGAGAGTGGTTCGGGAAGAAAACCCCTGCATATTTCATACTGTCGGTTTCTCTAGTTCAATCTGAAGACCAAATATAGTAGTTGGATTACAGCTCAATTGGGTTGCCTGCCTCCTAGCAATATTATGTGACCTATTTTTGGTTATTCAGGCTCAGAAGACTAAACAAAGCAGCGTACTTCATTACTATGCTGCCTCGACCCTCCTACGTGCTGTTAAGTGCTGAAAGCTTCCCGGGAACAACATATTACATCAGCTGTGAAAGCTGTGCTCCCAGCTATAACTACCTCTCTGATCTGTAGGTCGGTGATTTTGCTTCGGTTTCCACTTGTAAAGCCAACTAAACAACTGAGTAATTGTGATAAGTTATTGCCTCTCTATGTTATAGAGGCGTGTCAGTTTGTTTTGTGAATTAATTCTAAATTAACTGGCCATCATGGCTCATTTCTATGGGTCACATATGCACATCTCATCATTTTTGTGATTGGACAAATTTGTGAAATTTTCAACGATTGGCATCCCCAAAACAGCTTGAATATAAATTGACAATTGCAGTTATTATTCAGCTTTAAAGCACACAGTAGGAGTTTTTGCAGTTAGTGTGTCTGTATGTATATGTTTATCTGTATACTCATGTGTGCAGGGGGGGGGGTCTAAAAACTAAATCTGCAACGCGATTGTGCTAATTGCCGAATGTCGATTATTGCACTCTACGAAACGGCATATTATGATCGGAAGACCAATTGTCATAGTGTAATCATGTGGGGACGAGATATGCATGCATTTTTTCATGTTGATATAAATTCTCAATATTTTGGATACCACTTTATTCTGAATTTCGAGTCTATTATTCCAGTCATCATTATGTCGCACGTCAAAACTTTTATAAGATAAGATAACTTTATTGACATTATTCTTCTTGTCAAAGATTAACAAGCAAAGTAAAATAGAAAATTAATAGGAAAAGAAGAATTATTAACTAAATCTCAAGTTTTTGTGACCTTACGTGAAGCCTGTAAAGATTTTTCAGGAAGCTACTAGTAATTATTATAACAAGTTTTATTTTCAACATTGGAATCAGCATTCCTGCAAACGAATTTTGTTTTCAATTCGGAAATTGGTCGTGGTGTGAACGGTAAGGTAGCGTACAGACTGAATTTGTGAAGTTTTACCGATTCCTTCAAACCAGTTACAATGGAAAAACATGTTGAACATTTTTTTTCTACTTTTAATCATTTATGATTCAATTTCGACATTACAATGATCTTTCCTTCAAATGTTTTATTTTTGACATTAGCTATGAGGTGATCAAACTGTTCATGAGTACATGCTGACCCAAATAAACTTAGCAGTCTTCTGACTTATGTTATGTTGGTTATTGTTTTTGACTGTTTATAAACTTGCGAGATGACACATCTCATAGAACAATAGCTGTGGAACTTATAGACAAAGGTAAAGGTGTGGAAATCAAGCATAGCGGTAATGATTTTGAGCGTAGCGGTGGTAGCCTCTCAAAGCGGCACTGCCACGCTGTTTGTATCCTGGGGAGAACACTAGATTTAAAATTTCACCTGATCACAAAAAATACTCAGCATTTAAGGTAATATGCATTTTTTTATTGCCAAGTAAAGTATGTTCTGAAACAAACACA